AGGAATGCTTTGGTTCAGGCTCTTCTGGCTTTCATAGTTTGCGCTGAAAAGTCAGCTGTAATCCTAATGGGTTTTCCTTTATATGTGACTTGTTTCTCTTTTGTAGCTTTCAGTAGTGTCTCTTTGTTTCGTACGTTTAGTGTTTTTACTATGATGTGCTGTGGAGAGTTTCTTTTCTGGTCCTGTCTGTTTGGTGTTCTATATGCTTCTTGTATTTGTATGGGCATGTCTCTCTTTAATTTTGGGAAATTTTCTTCCACGATTCTGTTGAAGATCTGGTCCATGCCATTATCTTGGGATTCTTCTCCTTCCTGTATGCCTATGATTCGTAAGTTTGGTCTTTTTATGGTGTCACACAATTCCTGCATATTCCATTCTTGTGATTTCTTAAATTTTTCATAATCTTTGCTTGAGTGGTCTAGTTTGTCCACTTTATCTTCCAGTCTTGATACTCTGTTTTCCATTTCGTTCATCCTATTGGTGAGGCTTTCTCCTGTCGATTCTAATTGGCTTACTGAGTGTTTCACTTCCTTCTTCATTTCAGCCTGAATCATCTTCAATATTTCTAGCTCTTTTCTGAATTCATTCAGAAGTTTATCTCTATCATCCTTCAGTTCTTTGATTTCTTTGTGTGTTCTTTAAATTCACTGAATTCTTTTATCATGTTTATAATTGTTCTTTTGAGTTCCATGTCCTGCATTATCTCTAGGGGGTTCTCATTGTACTCCTCTAGAGGACTATTGGTATTTGGTGGGGATATGTTATTTTGGTTTTTCATGATATTATTTTTTCTCTGTGATTTTGACATGTGAATTTCTTTTGTAGTTTCTGATTCTTGTGTGACATTCAAGCCTTCAAGTTTAGGTATGCTTTCTGTGACCTTTATGTGTCTTTGTGGTTTACTTTTTTGGGCACGAAAAGCTGGTTCATCTAAGCTTCCTGTTCTCTCTTTTGATTTTATATTGGAGTGGCCAGATTGCTTTTGTCTTCAGGAGTTCCCACAGAGGCCCAAGTCAGATGAGGATCAGATGCTCTCAGGCTTTCTCCTAAGGTCTGGATCCCTCCAGGAAAGATTTTGGCCTCAGAAATTTGGGGGTTGGACTGGCCTGGGAGCAGGGCCCAGGAAAGATGCTGGTCTCGGGTAGCTGGTGTCCGTGCCACCCAGAGATGCAAAGGGAGATGGGGGCAGGAAGAGGCCCCAAGGGCCCCTGGGGACTGCACTGAGGAACTGGGTTGGTCTCAATGCAAAGGATCAGGAAGCAGAAAGGTCAGCCCTGGTGTTCAGGAAAGAGGCTGGTGGGTTGTAAGCCCAGGGAAGTAGAGAGAGGTGAGGGCAGGGCCAGGCCCAGTGGGCTCCTGGGGACCCTAGAAGGAACTGGGTTGGTCTGAATGAAAAGGATCAGGAGGCAGTGGTGGTTCCCCGGGTGTCTGGGGCGCCAAGACAAGGAATGGGACAAGGAATGGGACAGAACCCAGGCTAGGAGAGACAGGCGCGGGAGATGGGAGGGTAAATGAGGCTGGGGGAGTCAAGGCACGGAGGGTGCAATCAACTAACCCCAGAGAGAGGCCTGCGGATCGTGCAGGCCCAGGGAAGCAGAGGGCCCATATTCTAATTTTATTTTTTGTATATGAATGTATTGCCTGCATGTGTGTAAGTGCACCTGTGCCATGCAATGCTCATGGAGGTCAGAAGAGCCTGTCCGATTCCCTGGAACTGGAGTTACAGATGGTTGTTAGGTGCCATGTGGGTACTGGGAATTGAACCAGGATCCTCGGTAAGAGCAGCCACTGGTCTTAACTGCTGAGTTATCTGTCCGGCCCTGAGCAGCAAGAATTCTTAACCACTGAGCTATCTTTACAGCCCCATAGGGATATAGCTCTAGCATACAAGAAGCACTGGGTTTAATCTCCACCATAGCAAATATAAATATATACTTATACATAAAAATTTCTGATCTAGGTAATTTATGCCTCCTCTTCTCTTTGTAGCAGCTTTGCCAGAGGTCCATCAATTTAAAAAATCTTTTGAAAAGAACAAACTTCATGCAGAACTCCTCTTAACAAGCTTTTAGCTGAAAGTATGTTAGCAAGAAAATCAAGTTTTGCTTCATGGAAAGCATCTTTTTGTGTTCACCTTTGAGGGGTCTTTTCACTAGGCACAGAAATCTAAAAGAGCAGCTGTTTTCTTTCAGCCTTTCAGTTGCTGCTCTGGCTTCTGGCTTCCATCATTTTAATGGAGAAGGTGGATGTCATCATCTCCCCACCCCTTATAAAGTGCCTTCTTTTTGTTTCTAGTAGATATGGCTTTCTTTGTACTTATCTTGCTTGGGTGCATTATCACCTCTTGAATCTGAGTCCTGACATTTTTTCATCAGTTCTGGGAATTCTTGGTTATTCTCTCTTCACAGATCTCTATTCCTACCTGTTCTTTTCCCCTGGGGACTCTGAGGGCACAGCAAATCTTTCATTCTGCCCATTAGTCTATGTCCTTTTCTATCATTTCTATCCTTCTTACTTTGTGTGCTTCAGCTTGAATATTTCTGCTGACCTGTAGGCAGCTCCTTGAGCCTCCCTAATAACTGTCTAGTTTATAACTAAATAAATGCATTTGAGTATTATTTATTTATTTATTTATTTATTTATTTATTTATTTATTTATTTTGGTCTTTTTGAGACAGGGTCTCCCTGTAGACCTAGGTGTCCTGGAACTCACTATGTAGAAGATCAGGGTGGCCTTGAACTCAGAGATCTGCCTGTCTCTGCCTCCTGAGTGCTGGGACTAAAGGCGTGTGCCACCACACCTGGCCTTGAGTATTTTTGAGTCATGGATTTTTTTTTTTTTTTTGAGACAAGGTCTCAGTATGTAGCCCTGGTTGGCCTGGAACTGGCTAAGTAGACCAGGCTGGCCTTGAACTCAGAGATTCGCCTGCTTCCGCTTCGTGAGTGCTGGGAGCAAAGGTGTGTACCACCATGTCTAGCCTAAGTTATGGAATTTTTAGTGGGTTCTTTTTTTTAACAATTGTGGGTTTGTGCTGATAATCACTTTACCATTTATTCTCTTGACTACATTTATCTCAGTTGTTTTAAAGTCTGTGAATAATACCATCATTATGTGGATCTGCTATGCTTATTTCTGTTGTTTATTATTCCTTTTAGTCATTTGCTGTCATTTATTTGTGTTCCTGAAATTTTCTGAAATGACCACAGGACTCTACTTGAAAAAGTGCATATACAACCTGAGGTTCTGCCCATCTCCTTCCCAGTATTCACCTGCTTCCAGGAGATGGAAGAGGTGGGGAAAGAGACCTAGATCCATCTTCTGCTTCTGTGGGCTTTAAAACATCTTCAATAAAAGGCTTCTTTGATACTAAAGAATATTTTAATAAGCTAATAGAAAGATGTAAAGCAAAACCTCTTAAAGTCATAAAGGAAAACACTGCATACAGTGTTTTCTTCAGTAAAAACATTTCAGTAAAAAATTTTCTTCAATAAACAATGTTTTAAGATAAAATAGTAGCACTATGGGGGCTGGAGAGATGGCTCAGTGATTAAGAGCATTGGCTGCTCTTGCAGCACCCATATGGTGGCTAACAATCATCCCTGACTCCAGTTTCAGTGGATCCGATGCCCTCTTCTGACCACTGCAGGTGTTGCATGACATGGGTTTACTTACATACATGCAGGCATTACACTCATACACATAAAATAAAAACAATTAATAAAATATATTTTTAAAAAAAGATAAAATGGTAACACTGCATATGAAAACCAATGTTAAAGAGTAGAATACATCAAGGTGTCTTTCTTTAGTAATACACTTTCCATTTCTAGGAATGAATTTCTAGAGTTTTGAAGACTAGCTCCCTCAGCTTAATTGCAGTCCCTTTGTTCATTATGATAAGAGACGAAAATATTAAAGGGCATGCTTTCTAAATTCTCTTAAGGCTTGGTTCACCAAGTGACCTGGCTTCTGTCAGACAGGCCCATTGTTGGAAACTCTGGAAGGTGCCGGGTTTGGGAGGCTGTAACAGGTACCCTCCTGTCACTTCTGCTGGCAGCAAGGCTATGGATGATTTGGTTTTTTGTTACAGAGGAAAAGAGGTTCTGGTGTCTGACCCTACAGCCTTATGGGTATTATGAGGCAGTGGTCCTCGACAAGGTCTTGGTGAAACATGCCCTGGCAAAAACAGAAGTTCCTTTGATGGTTCAATTTGAGATGTCTGAAAACTCTTCCTGAACACTCAGTGAATCTTCAGTTATCTCTTCTAGCCCTTCAAGTACCAAAACCTTTTAATTAAAGCTAATAAACTAGAGCAATTTTCAGTATTTGGAAATGAATCCTGATATGCTCTCATAAGAAATAGTCCCTTAAGAGGTCAAATGTTTTTGTAAGACCTTCGCTGTATTGTTTGTGCAATAAGTTAAATCTAAAACAACCTAAATGTCCATCAAGAGTGACTAAACAAATCCCAAGTGCTGGGATTAAAGGCATGCATCACCATGCCCTGCTCAGGTGCAGCCTTTAAAAAAAAATATTTTGGGCTGGGAAGCAGAGGCAGGTGGATCTCTGTGAGTTCGAGTTCGAGGCCAGCCTGGTCTACATAATAAATAGTTCCACATCAGCTGGGGCTACAGGGAGACCCTGTCTCAAAAAACCCCCCAAACAACAACAACAACAACAACAACAACAACAAAACCCAAGAATATTTCGCCATATAATGATATGTAAAGGTCTCTAATATATTTATTTGTTCAAAAATATTCAGTGAGCTTCTATTGTGAAATGACTGTTGTCACCCATTGTTCTAGCCGACAGGAGCAGGCAAAATACCAAAAGATCTGCTATCACAAGGCTTACACTTATGCCATAGTGCAAGGAGAGCTGGAGTGTAATCCAACTCAAAAGCCCTCCTTCCTCCACATGCACACACCTGTATGTATAAAGAACATCTAGACGGCTGCACGGAGGCTGTCTCAGGCCTCTTCTCATACCTGTATCGGAGAAACGGCAGCTGCTGGCGCAGTCCTCACTGGGATTCCACTTAGGGGACTTCTGGGAGTCTTATGAACAGAAATATTCTGTCCAGATCCACCTGCCAAGAAAAGGTTGGAACATATATGTTTGATCCAGTTCAAGATTTCAAATAATAGTTTTTGATTTGTTATTCTTTTTTGGTGACTTAACTATCCTATGAGGTTTACTGTAACATTACTTTATTTTCCTTTTTGGCTCTGGATTACAGTTGAACTGGGGAAATGAAAGGGAGGAGTTAGTTGAGTGAGGGTTGGATCTTAGAAGTAGGCTATCTGAGGAAGAGGAAGACGCATGTGATAAGGCTCCTCTAGGGAAAAACAACAGGGAAATTCAGGCACAAATCATTACTGTTGAATCAGGCTCTATCTGCAGACTGACTCACTGGGTTTCCTGCCTCTCAGAAATGTGGATGCTAATCTTAATCTTATTTAGCTGCAAACTATTTTAGCAGAGACAACAAACACACCCTAGAATTCACTACTGCTCCAGTTCTCCAACACAATGTACATGTCTCTATTATGATTTATTATATTTTTGTGTACACATAAAGCATGAGCGTATAATTGCCTCATATATGCAAGATGCATGAGTAAAGGGCAATTGTGAGTTAGCCAGTCTATTCCAGAAGAAAGCTGGTCACAAACCCAAGATCAGAAGAAACAGAGAAATCAGTGGAAAAGCTTACATGCAAGAGCACATGGAAAGAGAAAGTCTAATAGCACATTGCAAAGTGAAGAGGACTAGGAGTCGAATGCTTACAGGTGAGCATTTTCTAGATGAAGCTGCTGGATAGCTTTACTAATTCTCAGAAGACAGGAAGAAGGCAAAGAGTAGGGCTATGCAAGTAACAGCTATATGAGGCAGAAAATTAAGGAAGGGGGCATGACAGGAACCAGAGTGAGGCAAGGGGTGAAAAGTGGACCTTGCATTTGTATTACCCAAGGGCCAGACTCTCCATTGTGGCCTCACAGCCTCACACACACAGTGGCTGCAGGAGGTATGCTCTACATTGAGCTCTGTGATTCTAGCAATTTGGGCCAGTGTGGAGCAGAAATAGGCTTGATATGTGGGCCAGGGTTTGAACGTATAGTTTTGCTTATGGAAAAAGAAAAGATTAAATACCTGGGTGTCCCAGATCAAATGACTTGATCAGTGACTTTACAGTGGTTGCAGAGTCAGAAGGCGCTGAAGATGTTCGGTTGACATAGATGCCACGCCACCGGCCAGCAGCATCGACTTCTGAGGGCTCCGACTCTTCATTCATAGGTCTGTATAGCAAAGAGCACATAAAATTGAAAAGGTGGAGGATTTTGAGGGGAGTGAATGGACACACAAGGAAACAAAACAAATGTGGACAGAATACACAAAAGCTGGAAGGGAATCCTTAATTTACGATCCGTTTTCTGTATTTTTAGGAAATAAACTAGGTACTGCTCTCAATTTTTTATATTTTCTTAGGAAATGGTCAGAATATGTTTACAAGTAGAATGATATTATCTCTAAATAAAAATATATGACTATACTCTGCACATGTGAAAAAAGCATAAGTAAGTGCTATTTATCAACAAATATTGCCTTTACTGTAAATGGAGGATACAAGGGGCTGGAGTGCTGGCATGTGTTCCAAAGCTCATGCAGCATGCTCAGAGCTGAGAAACGGGAAATCTCAAGACTATCATTCGGCTATGGGTTTGGATGTGATTTAAGATCCCCAGCAGAAAGGCCTGGGCAAGACCTACTGTAGGACCTGAGTTAGGGTGAAAGCCAGGACACAGGGCATTCACTAGTGACACAAATTGTAGTGGACACAAGGTGTTTCTACAATTGGGAGCCATAACTGGAACCTTCCAGACAGGCAGGCAACCTGATTCTAAGGTTCCCATCAAGGTGGAGGCAGCAGGTCTCCTGGTGGTCCAGTTCTGGGTTGTAACTTCAGAAAGCTGTTCCTGGAACTCAGACTACAGTCTGTCCAGTTATCTCAACAGTTCTGCAAGTTATTTAATACCTTTCTGCCTAAGCCAACTAGAGTGAAATCCATTACATACACCAGAGTCCTGCCTCAAATGCTTCTTGCCCTCTGAGTAAGAATGGAAGTTCTGAGTGAGGTGAAACTTCTACTCATGCAAATTCTCTAGTATGTTCTCTGTGTGGTTTCTAAATACCAGCATACACTCATAGGGGAGACTTTTAAAGACAAATCATATGATTCAGCTCTCTCATGTGTGGCTTCCTTATCTAGAGGATTTTAGGATGTCATTTAATCTCCTTGTGAATGAGCCAACCTCCCAGTTGCTAAGTCACTGCTGTTTTTATTGTATCATATTGCCATAGCTGTTTTGCAAGATGACGGATTTATGAGAGTGGCCCAAGAGTATTTCTGGAAGTATATTTTAATAAGGTCAGTGGAAGTTTAAAATATTTATTTCCTGATTTTTTTTCCTGAAATTAATCTAGCTACTCATAAGCTTCTGCAGCTGAATTTATTTGACCTTCATTCTGGTAGTTTTCTTCCATCTTTTGGCAATCAGCACAGACAGAATAAACTTAAATGAGGCAGTACTAAAAACCCTTAACCAGCCAGGCGTGGTGGCGCGTGCCTTTAATCCCAGCACTTGGGAGGCAGAGGCAGGCGGATCTTTGTGAATTCAAGGCCAGCCTGGTCTACATAGTGAGTTCCAGGACAGCTGGGGCTACAGGGAGACCCTGTCTCAAAAATACCAACCCCCCCCTCAAAAAAAACTCCTTAACCCATTCTCCCCTATACTCTTGACTACACAGCCTTCATTTTTGAGGGAGAAAAAAAAAAATCAGCAAACAGAAAATGTCTTTAGAAGAAACTACCAGGCATTTTAGACACTGCAGGGACCTGGATTCTTTTTCAAAACATAATTTAAAAAATATCTTCTGTATTATTTTTATTTTATGAGTGTATGGCTTGTATGTGTGTAAGTGCACCTGTGTCATGCAATGCCTGCAGAGTCAGAAGAGGGTGTCGGATCCCCTGGAACTGGAGTTATGGACTGTTGTTAGCCGCCATGTGGGTGATGGGAATCGAACCCGGGTCCTCTGCAAGAGCAGCCAGTGCTCTTAATTGCTAAGCCATCTCTCTAGCCCTCTTAAAACATAACTTTAAAAGATCTGTCGCAAGGAAGTAGTTGTTGTACTCCCCTTTGTGTTACTCGGTATAAAAGCAGATGGTAAGCGAGGTGTGATACTGTGACCTGCAGTCCTAGCTCAGGAGGTCAAGTCAAGAAGATCACTTGAGCTCAGGAGTTTGAGGCTAGCCTGGGCAACATGGCAAGATTTCATCTCAAAAGAGGAGGTGGGGGGAGGAAAAATCCATTTTTAAATATGCAGGAAAAGTTTTGAAACCAGGTTAGATATGAATAGGAAAAAAGAATCTCTTATTTTTGTGCAGCAAGTCTCAAGAAGGTCATCAATAAACAGTGGACCACCATTCCACTCCATGTAAATTGTTTATCATCAAAGAGCCTCTAAGGGAGTTCACTTAAAAAAAATTTTTTTTTCAAGAGAGGGTTTCCCTATAGCCCCAGCTGGCCTGGAGCTTACTATGTAGACCAGGCTTGCTCCATCTCAGAGATCTGCCTGCCTCTGCCTACCTTGAAAATCTAAGTCACCAAAAGCACAGTTTCTACAGATTATAAAACACGATCACATACCAACATTCCACTGCTCAGAAGTCTAACATGTTAGTTTTCCCTACAGCAGTTAGTGGTCTGTTCTTTTCCTCAGCTGCATCTTGCACGAAATGGCTACCCTCTGCTTAGAAGTCCCATCTGTTACCTGTTCCCCATATATAAAACTATAATAGTAATTAACAAAATATATATGTGTATGATTTATCTCCACTAGTATATGCCAGGAACAGTAACATGTCATAAACTGAAAATCGTTTTAATCCTACCTAGCACTGGGCAAGCTGAGGCAGGAGTTCATGAGTTTGAGGCCAGTCTGAGATACAATGAGACCCTGTCTCAACAAACAAAATTATGTTGCTCAGGCTGGGATGCAGCTCAGTTGAGAGTGCCTGCCTAGCATGCTCAAAGCCCTGGGTTCAATCCCTAGCACTACATAAACTAGGTGTGGTGGTACATGCCTGTAATCCCAGCATTTTAGAGGTACAAGCAGAAGGATCAGAGTTCAGGCCAGCCTGGGTTAGGTCTCCAAAAACAAAAACAAAGAAACTATGTTGCTTAATTTTCTGCAAAATCCATGCGTTACTATTCCTTAATTTCCAAGGAAATTTTGACAAAGTTATGGTTCTTAAGTGATGAATCTGGGTTGTAGATTGAGCTCTGTGGGTGTACCTTTGTCAAATTTCCTTTAATAGGAGAACATTCTGGGAGAGGCATACATATGTCTTCTGAAATTTTTTAATGATATACGTAAGGGGCTGGAGAGATGGCTCAGAAGTTAAGAACACTGGCTGCTCTTGCAGAGGGCCTGGATTCGAATCCCAGCACTCACATGGTGGCTAATCACCACCACAAACCTACCTCCAGTTCCAGGCCCTCTTCTGACCTTCGAGGGCACTTCACAAATGGGTGCACTTACATACATGCAGGCAATATACTTATACACATAAAAATAATAAACATTTTTAAAATGTACTTTAAAAAAAAAGGCCACCAATATTTATTTCAGTACCCTTTTAATTCAGGAATTTGTTTAAAAGACGTAGCAACCCATAATCTGAGAACAGGAAGCTGGAGGTCACATGTCCTGGTGTATGAATGCAAAGGGTAATTAATGGGCATGCTTGTTAGCAGGTAGCATTTCCTATCAACTACTGCAAGACATGTGTTATCCACTGTTTTAGGTCATAATTTAAACAAATGTATACAAGTATCTGTAGTTACTTGCTCCTTTGAATTTTCATCTAATTTGTCTAATTCATGGCTTCATTTGTCTAATTCAAGAGCAGAGCCTTCACATGATTAATTTTCTGTACCACTTGGTGGCACTACTTGTTTCAATCTAAGTGCAGGTAGGCTCTTGCATACTATATGATTCCTGAAGTACTCAAACATTAACTCCACTTGAGAAATGTCACATCACATCACTTCTCCTTTCACAACTGGCAGATTGTCTGTGAAGAGGATGGTCCTGCCAACTACATGTTTACACTGCTAGGCTTGAGCAATCAGAATAAAGCCTGGCTCTGGGCCTCTCACAGTGCTGTTGGGGACTTCTTATGACCCCTCTGCCCATCTGGTTTTCAGGCTTTCAGTCTAGCCACTGAAGTTTGTTGCTTTTGTGTCCTGGTTCCATGCCTTTCTTATTCTATGCCCTTACCTGGAATGTCATTTTCTGAAAATACTTCTTATTTTTTAATATTTTATTTAGCCAGGCATGGTGGTGCAGGCCTTTAATCCCAGCACATGGAAGGCAGAGACAGGCAGATCTCTGTGAGTTCAAGGCCACCTGATCTACATAGTGAGTTCCAGACCAGCTGGGGCTACAGGGAGACCTTATATCAAAACAACCAAAAAAAAAAGATTTTTTTAAAAATTTTGTGTGTATGAGTATATTGCCTGCATGTATCTAAGTGCACCCATGTTGTGCAATGCCCGTAGAGGTCAGAAGAGGGCATTGGCTCCCCTGGAACTGTAGTTATAGAAGGTTGCATACTGGGAATTGAATCCTGGTTCTCTGCAAGAGCAGTCAGCAATCTTAACCGCTGAGTCATCATCTCTCCAGTCCATGAAAATACTTCTTAATGTTTTAAATAAATCTAAAAGAAGTCTGTTGCTCTTATTATATGACAGCAATTATGAAGTATTTGATCTCAGGTGTCAAACACACTATTCTGAATTTCACTTTCCAATTTCAGCACTAACATACAGAACAAGAAAAACAAACTGGGTGAAGTGATAAGTTAAATGCATCTTACTTTCCATATACCATCAAAAATAATCATAGAAACAGTAAAATGTCTTTGCATCAGCAGTGGAAATTTAAAAAGGGTACCATCATCATGACTTCAACTTTGAGGAATTTTCACTACCCAGAGAGTAAGTGTGTGTTGGGGAGGTAAGGGGAGTACAAAGGACTTTGCCCCAATTCCCTTCCAAAGAAAATGAAGATAAGGGAATACCCTGCTAGTATCCCCTACTCTACAGGGCCAGGACTGGAGAGGCACATGAAGCCCCAAGAGCATGCAGCATGTCCTTACAGAGGATCAGGGACATGAACACTGAGCTGTCTGAGGGTCCAGGGTCGGATTATCCCACACAAAGGCAACAGG